TCAGGCTACTGTTTACAACCTGAGTACACTGAGGATCTAAGCCTATTTTGCCTTAATTGTGGCCCAATGTTTAGGACAGAATGGTAATGTTTCCTTTTTCACATGATTAGAAGCCAACAGTAAATGAAAAAAGATTCTCTTTTGATTTTAGGAATATAGCCACAAATAACCATTCTTTTTGAGAGTTTTCAATGAAAAGGTAGGGCCTGCTTTACAAACCAGTTGTTTTTTAAAGATTTTATTCATTTATTCATGAGAGACACAGAGAGAGACAGAAATGTAGGCAGAGGGAGAAGCAGGCTCCCTGCAAGGACCCTGATGTGGAACTAGATCCCAGGACCCCAGGATCACAACCTGAGCCAAAGGCAGACACTCAACCACAAAGCCACCCAGGTCCCCCTACAAACCAGTACTAATGGATCTTTAGAGACTGGAAAAACCAATATTTTCATGGATGAAACCTACATATTCATATTAAGGTCATTATTATTATGCTTCCTAAATGAAAATGGCACCTCAGCAAAAAACCACAGATCATGTTTAGGCACTGATTAACTTAATTCTAAGATCCCTTTTCCTAGTCACAGAAATGGTTACACCAGGTATGTAGTTAAGACTCTATCATAGGAACTAAATATTTTGAGGTCTAGTATTTTGATTGGTAGGTTTTGTTCTATTTTGACACTGAAATTATTATTATACCTTATGTTTAATAAAAAAAATTGTATCACTCTGTGCCTCTCTATTGTTAGTCCTTGTGAGAAAACAATATATCTACACTAATAAATTTAGAATATGTAGCTGTACTAATAGAGTGTAGGGTGATGGATTTCTCCCCACATTATAAAAAAGGATGTATCAAGAAAATAAACACTTTCTCAATTTTGATTTGTTTCACTCACATAAGAAACTAGCCTAAAATTATTTATGTCAAAACAAACAGCATACTAATTACAAATGCTTACCAACTCAGGCAAATGTGTCTAAAAGGATGAATCTTTACAGTTATATCCTTATTTCTTGAATATCACCAAATTAACCTTTTGATAGTTTCTATCTGAGCTGCCCAAAATGGTAGCCATTAGTCAAATGTTGCTATTTAAATTATTAAAGTAAATAAAACTAATAATTCAATTACTCAATCACACTAGCCATAATTCAAGTGCTATGCAAGTCACATGTGGATAGTAGTTATATTGGACAGCATGGAAAATTATTTTCATCATTACAGGAAGTTCTATTAGTCAGTGCTTATCTACATTTCAGACTTAACTACTTCCCCATTAACACAAATTAGTGAGATTCAACTGTGGACAAAACTATGAATTTAAGAACAGATAAAACAAATACTGAATATTCAATTTATAAGAGTTCAAGGGGTGCCTGGTTGGATCAGTTGATTAAGCATCTGACTCTTAATTTTGCTCATGATCTCAGGGTCATGGGATTGGACCTGCACCTGGCTCCATGCTCAGCACAGAGTCTGCTTGTCCCTCTCCCTCTGCTCCTCCCCCTTTCTTTCAAATAAATAAAATCTTTTTTAAAAAAGTGTTAGACGGGATGAGCACTGGATGTTATGCTATATGTTGGCAAATTGAACTCCAATAAAAAATACAAAAAAATAAAATAAGTAAAAAAATAAAATCTTAAAAAAAGACTTCAGAATTCCTTTAATTACCTCAGTAGGAAGGTAAGAAGCTCCAGTTTAAATAGCCTTAGTTAGTAAACAATTAGGGATACATGATACTGTGTTTACAAAGCATAAAACCTTTGCTAAATGTTATTACTTTTTCCCCCTTATACTGTGCCTTTTATTCCCATGATTTGTTCATTCAATAACTGGAAACCTGTAAATCTCTCTCCCCTTCCCAAGTTTTGCCCATTCCCCCGACAACCATTAGTTTGTTCTTTTCACAGGTCTGATTGTGCTTTTTGTTTGTCTATTCATTTTTTTAGATTCTACATATGAGTGAAATCATATGGTATTTCTTTCTTTCAGTCTGACTTATTTCACTTAGCATAATACCCTCAGGTTCATCCATGTTGTCACAAATAACAAGATCTCATCCTTTTCATGGCTGTGTAATATTCCATTGTAATGTTCCTTAGCTAAATCAATACCATTTTATTCACAATTCCCCTCAAATGAGTCCATTAACCAACATATGGAGTGTGACAATGACGAGCCATCAGAAAGAAGTCTTAGGTTATCAATTCTATAAGGAGATGACTGTGATATCAAAAGAATAATATGCTACAATTTCTAGGGACTATTTTGGAAATTAATCTGCTTAGCTGGTCTGAAACTATTATATGTATTTATATTATATATAAATATTAGTTATATATATAGTTATAATATATATAATATATAATAGTTATATATACAACTATTATATGTATTTATATTATATATATAAATATATATAATATTATATATAGTATATTATATATATAATGCATGCAGTAATATAATTCCAAAGAAAATCAGAGCAGATTTTCATCAGAAATTATTTTATTGAGATGTGCCCTTTAGAAGAATTTACTGCGTATGTTAAAGTTTTTAATGGAAATGATGCTCTGGGTTTATAATAGAATTCAGAGACTAAAATACAATATATGTAATTATGATTTATAGGCAATTTTTCTGTAAATATGTTTTTATATAATTTTTACATTTTTAAGTTACAAAGACTTCCTATTTAAGAACTACAGCACCTAGTTTTATTGCTAAGTATTTGAATATCAATTATTATGATTGCAGTCATTACTGAATAGATAGTAGACTCATAGAACATTAATGTATTTCCATCCTCCCAACTGATGATTAAATTTCTACCCAATGGCCAGATAGCCTCATTCTACCTGCCAGGGATCTCAGTTTCCCTTTATGTAAAGTGACAGAGTCGAGCTGGATGATCTCACAGGTGATTTCCAGCTGTGACATTCTATAATTCTATAAATTGTTTCTAAAATTAAATATTTATTTTCAAATAAGCAGTATAGAAAACAAGAAGTTAAACACAAAATTTTGGAGAGTGCTTACATTTGGTAGGGAGGCAGAAGTATAGGGAAAGGGATGAGCACATAAATAGATGCAAGTTTTTGGTAATGTTTTAGTTATTGAGTTGGATAGTGGGTTCACTGACATATTATACTTTATAATTTACATATATATTACATATTTTTATATTTGAAATATTTTTTAAAAGATAATAAGTGAGAAAATATACACCATAGCCTTTGGATACTGCATTTGGTTCTAAGAAGCAAATTATTTAACAGTAGGATGTGAAACACTAGTTTGTAGAGAAAGACTTCTTTTAAGCAAATACTGATGGGACAAGAGTACATGATGTGTCCAGATTGCTCAGAGTGTACAAAACTAGCTTGAAACTGTTATTCTTTTAGGAGATAGCAATCTTGTATTTTTAAATAAGAAAACAGTAGCTTATTTGTACTTTGTGTAATAAGCCATTCCTAAGCCAGAAAAAATAGGTACTGGATACTCAAAATATTCCCTTTAGTGGAACCTGGGTGGCTCAGTGGTTGAGCGCCTGCCTTTGGCTCAGGTTGTGATCCCGGAGTCCCGGAATCAAGTCCTGCATCAAGCTCCCTGTAGGGAGCCTGCTTCTCCCTCTGCCTATGCCTCTGCCTCTCTCTGTGTGTATTTGATGAATAAATAAATAAAATATTTAAAAACATATGTTTCTATTCATAGTGATGTTATTTATCCTTAATAATCTCAAAATCTTAATGAGTGGTCTTGATTTATATTGAACATCATTCTAGTCTGCTCTTTTGACTATTCAGCTGTACAAGATGAAAACCAACCATACAGGGACACCTGAGTGGCTCAATCAGTTAAGTGTCAGGTTTCAACTCAGATCATGATCTCATGAGTTGTGGGATTGAGCCCCACAAACAGCTCCATGCTCAGGGGAGAGTCTGCTTGAAGATACTCTCCATCTGCCCATTGCCCCACTTACACACACTCTCTCTCTCAAATAAATAAATAAATCTTTAAAAAATGACATATGTATACATCAGTAAAAATCAATTCAAGATAGGAAAAGCTCAACAGTGAAGCCTTTACAGGCTTCTTTTCTGGTAGAACATTTGGACATTTATAGTGAACTTTCAAAGTTGTCAAATGAGAGATTGTGGCTAGGAAAGGTCAAGTGATTTCTCTTTTAGTCTGAAAAGCTGACTTTCAAACAACAGCAATAAATGATGCCTTCTGAATGTACATGTAAAAATAAACCAGTGATGAATTTTGGCTGTGACTGAGAGTGTAAAGGAAAGAGTAGATGGTGGCAAGAGGTCTTTAAGGTTCTAATGAATTATGTAAGGAACAAAATTATCCAAAGTCTTCTTCTACAACACTTTTGGTGTCAGTGTTAATGAGCTAGAACTAACTAAACTGATATTATTAAGTTAATGGGCTTTTTTTCTAGTACAATGCATGGATTTAAACAGACAAGCTAATGTGGAATATAGTTGATCGTAACTGAATTAGAAGCTATCATATATATATAATTAGGAGCACTGAGGATTGTAGTGCTAGAAAATAATTATATTTATTTCTAGCTTTATCTAATCCATTTTATACTCACATAATATATATAGCATAGGATTTTTTGTCACTGCATTAAATAAAATTCAATTATATCACTAAAACATTTAATGCATTAAGCATTTTGATTGTGAGGCTGTTACTATTGACATCTTTAATATATCTTTTTGAAAATGCCCTATTCCCATTTATTTCTGTCACCAGCAATTGCATCTGTACCAAATGTTTAGATAGCACTGACTCCAAAGAAAAGACAACTTAGCCACAAAAGTGGTATGTGAAAACATTCTGGTTAGTTCAGTCATAGTATTGTCCATACCTTATTCCTTCATGTAATAGATAAGAAGATAAACAAATTCTAATTTGCACTTATACTAGCAGTATATTTCAGCTGAAACTCTTTAAATGAACTTTTTCCCTCCCCCATATGCTTAGCTCTTCAAGGTTGGCTCCCCCCTTGCACACTCAGGAGCTTACAGCATCAGCATTTAGTGGATGAAGTGTTATCATCCACTAAATGATCATTTTTTTAGATGAAGGAAACTAAGGTTCACATAGATGAGAGTTGAGATCATTCTATCAGTTACTGGCTGATCTGCTAATATCTGTTTCTATTCATCAGTCAAAAATATAGGTAGAGAGGTGCATCCTCACTAGGACACAGGGCCAGGATAGGGATCAAGCTCCAATTGGAAACTAGATTTTACAGGGGATATAAAGGATGCACCTCTCTGAGAGAAAAACAATCTCCATTCTTAAAATAAGTAAATAATTACCCCTCACATATGATCTTCACAGCATGAAATATGATAAAAGGATATAAAACTGCTTCGAAACATAAATTCCAGGGACACCTGGGTGGCTCAGTGGTTAAGCATCTACCTTTGACTCAGGGCATGACCCTGGGGTCCTGGGATCGAGTCCCCATCAGGGTCCCCCCAAGGAACCTTATTCTCCCTCTGCCAATGTCTCTGCCTTTCTCATGAATAAATAAATAAAATATTTTAAAAAGAGAGAGAAATAAACAACTTCCATAGAGTCTAGATAACTATATTATTATAATTATACAAAGTCTTGCTACTAAGACTTTTCTTTTCCCATACTTATTTCCCAAAATTAACTTAAAAATTAAGAAAAAGATGGTCACAAGGCCTAATTAACTCAAATGAGCTATCTGTAAACAATATATAAGCTTATTAAATAATCATCACACATACTGGGAGTTTACAATAAAAATGCCTAGCATTTGTAAAGTACTTTTAACTTTTGAAAGCACTTTTGAACCAATTATTTCATTTTATATTCACAACAGTTCTATGAGTATCTCCAGGGAAAAGACTGCATCTTATTGTCCTTAACATCAGTGCCACAGAGTAGGCAATCAATAAATGTTTATTGAATGAATACATGAATTAAAGGAAAAAAGAATAGATGGATTGGGTGGATCTATAGCTGAGCAAAAATAACAATTCTGTTACTTATTTTTAGGGTATTTTTGGCAATATATTTATAATGCCTTTCAAATTCTAAATTTGTTATGATGTCTTAGATGGCTAAGAATATAATCTCATACTTATACTTCCTTAGTATTAGAGTTTTAGGGTTGTTTCCTTTCTGATTTACATTACATTTTTATCTTTAGGAATATTCGAATTCAGTATAGTTTGTATAACTAACTTCAACTGAACATGAGGAAATTCTCTGAGTACTTCCACAAATAGGTGAAAAAATGTAGATATGCTTAGGCTTATTCTTGGATATTTTTAATTGCTTATTTTACTGACCATTCTAATCTGACATTTCTGAATTTTATTTTATTTTAGCCTCTTTTATATTTGCTATCATGATTTTTCACAGATTTCCAAGGACTCCATTACAACCAATACTCGACTTTTGCTTTTAGATATCTAGGTCCCCATTGGTTTGGTTTATGTTGTTCCATTTTCTTCTAGCTTTATGTCTACTGACCAACACCCACCACTGCTCTCTTTCATTAATCCTGACATATGCTATCAAAATTGTTAGCGACATATCAAAATATCTTATACTCAAAAGGGAGAGTTAAGATGGTGGAGTAGGAGGAGGACCCTATCCTTGCTTCATCCCTCAAATATAGCTAGATAAATATCAAATCCTTCTGAACACCTAATAAATCAATATGAGAACTCGCAGAGCAAACACACAACTAAAGGGAGAGAAGAGATCGCATTGTGGAAGACAGTAGGTGCAGAGATGTGATTTAGGGGAGAAAAGAATCTCAGGTGCTATATCTCCCTGATACAGAGAAAAGGCAAGAGAGAGAGGCAGAGAAAGGGAGAGAGAGAGCAGTGCACAGGGGGTTGCACAGGGAAAACACTTTCCCAAAGCCATTGACTAGGAAAACAAACAGCTAACTATTTTGAGTCTTTACAATCAGTGGGCCACAAAAACTGGAGGTTTAGAAGTCTGCACCATGGCTGGTGTAGACCTTGGTGAACACTGCAACGATCCTGTGGAGGAAGGCAGAGGCCTCAGAGTAGATGGTACCACTTAAGCTTAGGGGTAGAGACACCTGACAAGGGCAGCTAACCTGGACTCAGGTTTTTGCTGTGCTTTACTCTAAACTCCAAGCACCTGCACATTGGTGCAACTGCCCTTCTGGGACAAACTGCAAGAGCCCCAGTGTGAGGAGTCCCTTCCCTAGAAAACCAGCATGGATCCTCCTCACTGCACCGGGTCCCTAAAGGTTGAGTTTTCAAACTCAGCCTGTGTTTCTGAGATACAACACAGATGCACAGTGATGCTGGGAGCACATATGGCCCTGACACAGAGAGGGTAAAGGCAGGGATCTGAGGGACACGCGGGACACATGAGGGAAGGTTATTTGATCTTCTCTGAGGGTTTTCTGGACAGCACATAGAAGAAAGTGACAAGAGAGAGGACTGGTGCCATCATAATGGACTGACTTCGGTGAGCAGAACAGAGCCAACAGTGGTGGTCTGAGCCACTTACACCAAGCCACACATCTGTACTCTGCTGGTGCTTCTTTACTAGGGCAAGTGTGACTGAGAACCAGAGCATCAGGCCCTCCCCCAGAACAGCACAAACACCCACACACACAAGGATTACTGACCACAAAGCACTACAAAGCTTCAGTTCTAGTGGAAATAGGATCAGACCTCTTTTAAAAAGCAGATCAGAGCACACATATTTGAAACTTACCACACTCTGGACAAAGTTCAAACACTCTCCATGGTAGTAGGCAAGTAGGAACTATATAGAGAACTGACTTGAATGAAAAGGAAGTCAAAACAGCAGCAGAGTGTGCACAGCATACACCAGAGGCACTTTTTGAAACACAAGGCCCTAAACAGTATACAACCTCTTCTTAATAAAGCCATTACTCGGGATCCCTGGGTGGCGCAGTGGTTTGGCGCCTGCCTTTGGCCCAGGGCGCGATCCTGGAGACCCGGGATCAAATCCCACGTCGGGCTCCCTGCATGGAGCCTGCTTCTCCCTGTGCCTGTGTCTCTGCCTCTCTCTCTCTCTCTCTCTCTCTCTCTCTCTCTATCATAAATAAATAAATAAATAAAAATATTTTAAAAAATAAAATAAAGCCATTACTCTCAGGAGCATGAAACAATAGGCTTTTCTAACATACAGAAGAAGACAAAGACCTAGAAAAATGCTGAGATTGAGGAATTAATTCAAAAAAAAATAAGAAAAGGTCATAGCCAGGGATCTAATCAAAACAGATATAAGTAATATTCCTGATCCAAAATTTAAAGCAGCAATCATAAGGTTACTTGTTTGGCATGAGAAAAGCATAGGAAACACAAGAGAGTCCCATACCATAGAAAGAAAAGAGAGAGAGAGAGAGAGAGAGAGAGAGAGAGAGAGAGAGAGACCTAAAAAGTAGTCAGGTCAAAGTAAATAATGTTATAAATGCAATGTGAAACTGACTGGATGTAATAACCACAGGGATGGAATAAACAGAGAAAAAATAACTGTTACAGAAGATAAAATTATGGAAAATAATGAAACAGAAAAGAAAAGGGAAAGAAAAATATTGGATCACAAGTGTAGATTTATGGAACTCAGTGACTCCATAAAGAGTAATAACAATTAGATCAAGGAGTCTCAGAACAGGAAGGGAGGGAAAAAGAGGTAGAAGGTTTAGTTTAACAAATTATAGCAAAAAAATCCAAATCTGGGGAAGACAACAGACATTCAAATTCAGGAGTCAGAGAGAGCTCCCATCAAAATCAACAAAAGCAGGCCAATACCAAGACATATCATAGTAAAGTTTTCAAAACACAGAGATAAGAATAAACTCCAAAAAGCAGCAAGGGAAAGGAAATGCCTAAATTATTAGGAAACACAAATAAGTTTTGAGTTTTGAAACTCAGAAGATCTCACCACAGAGACCTGGCAGGCAAGAAGAGAGTGGCACAATATATTCAGCATGCTGAATGGGAAAAATATTCAGACAAGAATGTTCTCTCCAACAAGTTTAACATTCATAACAAAAGAAGACATAAAGAATTTCTCAAACAAAAAGTAAAGGAGTTTGTGATCACTAAACGAGCCCTGCAAGAAATATAGAAGTTAGCTCTTTGAATGATAGAGACCAAAAGCAACAAATACAAGAAAGGAACAGAGAAAATCTCCAGAAACATTGACTTTACAGTAGTACAATGGCAATAAATTCATATCTATCAATAGCCACTCTGAAAATAAATCTACTAAATGCTCCAATCAAAAACATAGGGTAGGGCAGCCCAGGTGGCTCAGTGAATTAGCACCGCTTTCAGCCCAGGGCGTGGTCCTAGAGTGCCGGGGATCAAGTCCCACATCGGGCTCCCTGCATGGAGCCTGTTTCTCCCTCTGCCTGTGTCTCTGCCTCTCTCTCACTCACTCTCTCTCTCTCTCTCCCCCCCCATGTGTCTCTCATGAATAGAAAAATAAAATCTCTAAAAAAGCATAGGGTATCAGAATGGATTAAAAATATAAGAACCACTTATATGGTTCAAGGAATTCATACTAGATTCAAAAACACCACAGATTGAAAGTGAACTTGCATATGAACTTCAAAAGAAACCTGAAGCACCAATACTTATATAAGACAAACTATATTTTAAGCCAAAGAGTGTAACAAGAGATGAAGAAGGGTGTTATATCATAATAAAAGGATCTATCTAACAAGATCTAACAATTGTAAATGTTTATGCTCCCAAATTGGGAACACCCAAATATATAAAACAATTAATAACAAACAAAGAAACTCATTGATAATAACACAATAATAGTAGAGGACTTTAAAAGCCCACTTATTTAAATGGACAGATCATCTAAAGAGAAAATCAACAAGGAAACAAGGGCTTGGAATCACATGCTTGACCAGATGCATTTATTAGATATATTAAGAATACTTCATCCTAAAGCAGCAGAATGCACATTCTTTTTTGAGTGCACATGGGAATTCTCCAGAATAGATCACATACTGATTCACAAATCAGGCTTCCACAAATACAAA